GGGTTATAGACACCCCATTTTTGACCGCCCGTAAGACTTGGGCGCTTCATTCGAAACACCTGATAATGAAAGTTACATTATGCAAATTGTTAGGATCTTAGCAAAAGAATTTGGTTTCAAGCTCTAATCCCAAACCTTACGCCCTATTTTGGTCAAACTATTTTAGACCTTAAAACCCTCTTTTCAAAATATTTTTCTAAATGTTTCTACGATGTTCCAAGGCTCTCATTTCATTTAAAATATTGCACTTTTTGGTAAATCAAGTAAGGACAGAGTGGAAATAAATAGAAGAGAGGAAAAATCTTTGAAAAAACTTTAAAAAAATCTTATTTATAGGTTTGGAGTTGAAGGAAATAGGAAGGGATGGAAGAAAACTAGTTGGAGAAAAGGTTGAGTATCAAACCGTTAAGAAAGAAATGAGCAACCTTTGTTAAATTAGGCATATCTCTTTGTACACTTAGAATTTAGATGTGAGGCCACCACCATTGGAAAGTAGAGTTGGAAAGTAGACTTTTGGGGCTTCAATTTAGACGTAAGAATCACCTAAAAATGAGTCTGGATGAAGGAGATATGCCGTTTGAAGTTGGGCTTGAAAGTAGAGTTTTTGGACTTGGCTGGGTTTGTTTAGATCCGGCCGTGACTTGTTTAGACCCAGCTGGGTTTCAATGAAAACTTGTCCAGAGTGCCTTTTTAGACCTGGCCTTGGATTATTTGGTCCGGTTGTGGGTTTTGGGGCCTGGCCGGGTCTCATCAGCACCAAACAGGACAGCTGGTGAGCATTCACCAACTGTTGTTGTTTGAAGATATTTTTGACCAAATTGGCTCAAATTCTATAAATAAACCCCCTACATTCAGAATTAAAGGTTAGAAGATTTTCCTAAAGGCTTTGAATGATATTGAGAGCGAAAACCATCTTCCTTACTCCTTTGATCTTGAAATCTTCTTGAACAATGCATACACAATACATACACAATTAGAGTTTGTTCTTGAAGCTTTTTGTTGAAGTTTCAAACCATATTTATAAACTTGAGGGTATTTGAAATCAAGTTTGATCAACAACCAAAGGTTGCTCTCTTCAAGAGGTATAAGCTTGTCACATTTTTCGTTACTTTCATTTCAATCTTTTTCTTGTGTTTTCCTACTATTTTGGATCCATTCCAAGTGTTGGAACTTGGGGTTGAAGTTCTACGAAAGGTAGAGAGGTTTAACAACCTTTCTTGCACCTTGTCCCATAGCTCATACCTTTTGTTTTTGAACTATTTTCTTTGGTTTTCATACTAATTTTCAGAGCTTAAAAAGGCCGGAAAACATGGTTTAGATGTTCCAAAAGTAGAGGGGTTAGCCACCCCTCCTTAGTCTTGCTTACTAGTTTTGTATCTCTTTGTTTTTGCCTATCTTTTGTGCTCTTTTAACATGGTTTTAGCCATTGTTTTGGGACTGTTTTTGGACTATTTTGGGGCTGGAATATGTGATTTAAAATTGCAAAAAGTGGAGGGGTTAGCCACCCCTCCGTAGGCTTTGTTCCATAACTTTTTCTCTACTGTTTTTACTTACCTTGTCTTGTAATTACCACTGTTTTTTTTTTGGGGGTATTTGTGGGCTGTTTTAATGTCTTTTAAATTTATGCTTTGAATACTATACTTGTTGTGTTGTAAGTCCTCATGGCTTTGCTTGTTTAGGCCTTAGACATTGAGCCATTTGAGTTGATAGCCTTCTTTACCTTTCTTTTCATGTAAGGGTCTCACTTTTGCAATAATTAATTTCGCATAATCATCTCTGCACTCTCCCTCTTTTCTTGGTTTTCTCCTCTTTTGTAAGAGTTGTTTCAAATGAGTGTTGTTTAAGTTTTAGAGAGCGACCCTCCATGCTAAATGGTTTAATCTCTTTAGAGGTTGATTACTAAGGCATTACATCTCTCTATCAAGAGGATTTTGTTTACTAATAATTAGGATCACGCATTTTTCTAACTATTTTATTCAATTTGGCTTGCCTCGGTTGAGTACTAGGTGAGCATTTTCGCTTTAGCATATTGCATGCGTGTGATTATTGCCATGACAAGCATGATTATCATAAGGCTAAGTACTTAGTTGATATACCTGTTTGAATGCTTGTGGATGAAGGCTTTTCACTTAAATTGAGATAATTTGATTAACTGTATATATGATATCGCTTTTCAGAAGCGGCATATATTCAAACATTTTCCAAACAAACATGAAATCAAAACGTTCTAAATTTTGCAAGATAGTCTATACTTGTGTGCATCACGTAGTAATGATAGCATAATAATCGGAACAAGAGCATATAATGTAAATAAGAATCACATCATGACTAGTAGAGGCCGATCTTTGATTGGGTGAGTGGGGTGCTTAGTTTATGACCTTCCCCTCTCATACCTAAGTTCCTGAGTCGAGACACTTTGGTGATAACAAACTAATGGCCTTTTGGCACAAGTCATGGGTTTCCTAAATTTTTCAAAAATATTTAGGTGGCGACTCTGAAATTTGGCAATGTAGTCCATTTTTTGGCATATTTTGATTCAAAACTCGATTTTCTAAAAAGGTTTACCACATTAGGACTTTTTTGCACTTGTGAAACCAAATTCAGAACCACAAGAGTCCTATAATAACCCGACCCTCGTACATGTTTTTTGGTATGCTTTCAGTCCCTTACTCTATGCATTTATATGCTTACTGTGAAACTTCATGTGAAATTAAGTTTAAGTGAGTGAATCTTATGATTAGAGATTCATATCTGTCTAATAAGAGAAATATCTGTTACAATTATGATGTTTGGATCAAAAATTGGAAGCCTTAGAAGCTTGCTATCTGAAATTGACTTTGTAATTAAGATTAGTATGATTTTTGGATCATCATATGATTTTCTGTAAAAATTTGATTTGGAATGATTAAATTGATTAATTTTTGAGTTAATTAACTATATCTCTATCCTTTTAACCCTTGACTTAGAAAATGCTAAGACATAAAAATATCTCCTGAGAGAGGATTAGAGGAGAAGAGAGTTAGAGAGGAAGATGAGAAGTTTAGCAAGGAAGAAGATTGGGAAATTGAGAGGAAGTGTAGAGATTTGAGCTCAAGGTCACATACAGGGGGGGATTATCGCTCCACCACAGCACTGTGAGTAACAGTACTGTAGTGATACATTTTACTTTTTGTTAGTTGTTATGATTAACGTTTTGCTATTTGCAAGTCACTTGTGTTGGCTTGTATTGAACTATGAAGAAATCTGTTTGCACCACTGTGTGATAGTATTCTTATGAATCTGAGACTACTCTGTTTTGCCGAGACTATTCTGTTAATAATGGGCTCAAGGCCGTTCTGGTACAAGCCACTAAGTGTGGACAACTCTGAAGAAAAGGGAGGTGAGAACATGCCAATGACTCACCAATCGTGTTCTGATCTGAATTAAATATATTTTATGGCCTATGGCCGAGAGAAGTGACGTACATGTCAGTGTCCCACTTACCCGTTCATGTTCAGATAGCTGTTGATATCTGGGCCTATGGCCGATCTGTAAGATATGTTGGGCCTGAGGCCGTTCTGCATGATACTGGGCTTGAAGCCGCTCTGTATAAAAATTGGGCCCAAGGCCATTCTGGAAATGTTTACAGGATGAGATTAATCATATGACCTCTACACATATATACGTAATAAACATTATAATTCAAGTTTATTCATTGAATTCTTTAAGTACTATTATTCACTGAGCCTTGCTCACTCTGTATTATGTCTGTCTCTGTAGGTAACCGACCTGGAGGTCAGTCTTAGCTCAACTTTGGTTGCTGTCAAACTTTTGACAACTTCACCGTGCCCAAGCTGTTAGTGAAGTCTATGCATTTTGTGGAGTTCCTTTCACAGCCCTTAGCTTTGGCCACCAGTTTTTTTTTTTTTTTTTCAATTTATAAATTCAGAAATCACAAAGAACAAATATTTTTGCTACACCCCTACGTGCGGGGCTGGATCTGTATATACATATGTATATGTGAATACCTGTTTCTTGTGTGTCTATTTATCATATGTTGGAATTGTTTGATGGTACATTTGTGATCCTGGCATATAGGTGTTAGCCCAATGGATGTTGTCTTATGTTGTTAATTGCTTCCGCTCAGGCCCCATATGTTATACATATCGAATTTTATGTCCGTTTCCGAATTGGTCATGCCCAAACTTTTAGGGGCGAGTCTGGGTTGTGACAAGTCCGAACTGTAGGGCTATCGTATCCGAGGAGACTAAACCCCTCCAAGGAGCATGAAAAGCAAGCTATAGAGGCGTTACGCAAACATTTTCCAAAAACATAATCTCACAATTTAAGATCACCAAGAACCTCACACTTTAATCCCATTCATTCACAAAAAAACACAAAAATAAAAAATAAAAAATAAATAAAACTCTAGAATAGCCCATCTCCACTCGAATCACAATCCATTCCCCCAAGTTAAGTATGCAACACATTTAGCAATTTGTTAAAATTTGTACTAAATTTGACACAAAATATAATATCGTAAAAATTTAGCAACCATAATAACACCTGCATTGGAGCTTATTTCTTGCACAAGTTGCTATATTATAACATAATTTATAGTTACTATTTTGAAAGAAATGCTATTAGCACCAGCCAAAATTCTTTGGACCCCTTATTTTATAATTTTTTTATTACAATTATACCATAAAGTAAAATTACATTAAAAGACATTATAAAATGGAACACCCACCTACCAAATAAGAACTAATACTCTATAATATTGGACACCCACCCCCACCCCCACCTCCAACTCCAACTCCAACTATACGTATTCCATATTTGCAAACCCTAAACCTATTACTTTTCATAACCCACCAACATAAACCCTAAATCTATTATTTTTCATAATCATCGTAAATCCTGAATATGTCATCTTCATCACCATCATCAACCCTATTGAACTTGAAAGTTTTTCTTCAAGGATAACGTATACTTTATCACTTATTTCACTGTGTAGAGCAATGGAGGACGAGGACAACAATTCTAGTGAGACCGACATTCCATTGGTAAGTTTATTTGTGTTGTATTAACATTCTCGGTCGTTTTCAGTCATTTTTAGTCATTCTTGTTTTGTTCGAACTGTTCGGTACTGGTTTACCGACTGTTAGGATTATGTTCGGTAATACAATACTGAACATAATCCTTTCGTTCAATATATAAGTTCCAAACATTAATGCAGATAGTCAGTACTATTAACAGAATATCATCTTTATTTTCGGCACTGTTGAACTGAACAAAACCATTAGTTTCGGGACTGTTGAACTGAACATCATTTTTTCAATTTTGAAATTACATTCACACGTGTTTTCAGGGTGATGCTTCGACTAGATGCAGTAAGATTGATTCAGAACTTGTAATGGATTATAGTAATGAATTTGTTACTCATGAGGTGAGTCTTTGATTGTTTTACAAATAATGTACCTTTTTTATGTGCAATAATTGGTTAGTTTAATTTATTTATTTTAGATATTCAAGAGTCGAGATGAGTTAATTCGATGGGCACGCCATGTTGGAAGAAGAAATGGATTCGTTATTTTCGTGCTGAAATCAGATGAGGGTGATATTTGTGGTAAGAAGCCAAGACTTAGCTTAGCTTGTGAGAGGAGTGGATCTTATAGGGACACTCGAAAAAATAGCAGGCCTAAGACAAAAAAAGCATGACTGGCTGGTACAAAAAAATGTGAATGTCCTTTTTTATTAAAGGGAAAAAAATTAGCCACAAATGATGACTGGATCTTGATGGTTGTTTGTGGTGTGCATAATCATCCTGCTGCAAAATATCTTGAGGGTCATTCTTATGCTTGAAGGTAGTCACATGAGGAAACCTCTTTGTTGGTAGACATGTCGAAGAGTATGGTACGACCGAGTGAGATATTGGTTACATTAAAACAACGTGATGATGCAAATGCTTCCACAATGAAGACAATTTACAATGCACGTCATAGGTATAAAGTTGCTGAGAAACCTGAGAGATCTCAAATGCAATAACTATTAGGTCAGTTAGCGGTAAACAAGTACATTGAGTGGCATAGGAGCTGTGTAGATACTGAGACAGTGACTGATTTGTTCTCTGCACATCCTACTAGTTTGAATTTGTTACGTGCATTTCCAAAAGTATTGTTGATGGATTGTACTTATAAGACCAATCGATATCGGTTGCCCCTTCTGGAGATTGTAGGTGCGACATCGACAGACATGACCTTTTCAGTTGCATTTGCATACCTCCAGTATGATAAGGAAGATAACTACACATGGGCACTTGGTATTTTACGTAATGTCATGGATGAAAATGCTCTTCCTTCTATTATTGTTATAGATAGAGAATTGGCCCTTATGAATGCCATATGTACGGTGTTTCCTGGAACTACAAATTTGTTGTGTAGATGGCATATTGGTAAAAATGTGCTTGCTAATTGCAAAAAGATGTTTGAGACAAAGGATAAACGGGAAATGTTATAATGAGTTGGAATATGTTGGTTATGTCATCGTCTAAAGAAGTATACATGCAACGACTGTCCTTGTTATATAGTGAGTTTAGTACTTATCAAGATGCACTTGATTATGTTACCTCATCTTGGTTGGATACATACAAGTCGAAATTTGTCGCTGCTTAGATTGACACATTTATGCATTTTGGAAATTCTACAACAAATAAGTAAATACGAACATTTAAATTTATTAGTTGTTTAGTTTTTTTATAACATTATTTTTATAACAGTTTATTTTCATGTATAGGTTTGAGAGTTCATATGCAAAACTTGAAAGATATCTTGAATCAAGTCAAGGAAATTTTGAGTCGAATTAGACAAGGATACACAATTTACTTGAGTTGCAACATAGAGAAATAAAATCATCATATGAGAAAAGCAAGATAGTTGTGCAACATGATTTCAAACGTGCATAGTTTAAGGAGCTTTGTGGTAATGTCTCAATTACTGCATTAGAGCTCATATTGGAAGAGTCTAAACAAGCATCTTCTATTGGTATTGATATTACTGCATGTGGACGTGTCATTCAACATACTTATGGTTTTTCATGTGCACATGAGATAGCAAATTACATAAGGGAAACTCGACCAATTCCCCTCACTTCAGTTTATTTATATTGGACTAACCTTGATATGTTGAGTACCCCACACATTGTAAGTGAAGAGTGGACTTATACATCTGGGTTAGAATTGTTTGCCAAACGATTCGAGGATGTGGATCCAGATGTGAAGAGGTTTTTGTTACAGAAATTGAGGGAGTTAGCCAAACTTGATTGTACATTGTTGATTGAGCCAGAAGTGAAGTCTAATCCATGGGGTTGGCCAAAATTGAAGATTGAAACCTCCACTCGTTGTGAGCCATCTGCGTTTGAAATAGTTGCTTTAGCACAAGATAGTTATTCGCCCGAAGTCATTGCCAAGGCAAGTGTAACAACAAAAAAGGTGAAAACAAAGAAGACAGAAAACACACATGGTTTACTAGTGAAGTATGTAATTGTGTCATGTTTTCAACTTTATTATCTAACATTGGCATTGGGCTGTGATAGGTTCACTGACTTCGATCATTGAATCCAAATTGCTTTTTAGAGGCATTCCTTTCTGAATTGTGATGATATATTAAATACGTTAAGGATGTTGCAACAGATGGCAATTGTGGGTTCCGAGCTATTGTTGGTTTGATGGGTTTTGAAGAAGAAGGATGGTTACAAGTAAGAAAAGATTTACTTAAAGAGTTGCATACGCATAGTGACCACTACAGGAAATTATTTGGATCACAAGAGAGAATCGATGACCTTACCAATATCTTGGCATATTTTGAGCCAAACCCTGGGTTGGACCGGTGGACGATGATGCCTGACATGGATTATCTTATATCGTCTTTCTACCAAGTCATTTTGGTCCACTTGTCTATGCAACAATGTTTGACATTCCTCCCTCTTAGGGCAATACTGACGTTTGTTGCCTCTCGCAAGGAGATATGTATTGGCTTTGCCAACAATAACCATTTTGTTCAAGTATTGGTTTCTAGTATTTTTGTACATTCTACTATTTTTAATTTTTTTTTTCTAACTCATTTTGGAGCCTGGTCATCCTATTCCACCCATAGCAACTAACTGGCGAAGGTACTATGACCCATGTGTAATATGCTGGGAGGTTGCATACAGTTCTGGAGTACAACATTTCAAATCACTCATCAGTATAGACATAGCCACAATCAAAACAGTAGACCTAGATGAGGACTAATATCATACGAGTGAGCTAGGAAATAGAATTAGAATGGATTTAAGTTATGTAATTTTCTTTGTTAAACTAACTTAGAATGGAAAAGAGTGAATTGGAATGGATTTAAGTTATGTATTTTGAATGGATTTAATTCACGTTATTTTCTTTGTTCTAATGAATTGGAATGGTAAACAGTGAATTGAAATGAATGTTATTTTCTGTGTAATATTGAATTAAAGTTGATGGAAAATGTGAATTGGAATGGATTCAAGTTATACAGTGGTGAACAAATTTTGTTTGGACATACAGTGCTGACAAGATCACTATTGTTCGACAAAACAGTTCTAAACAAAATACATTTGTTTGGCTATATAGTGCTAAACGAATTTTTTTTATTCGGTTCTACAGTGTTAAAATGAGTAAGGCAACAACTGTGGTTGGGCCAGCAAGCATCTATGTTCGGCACTACAATACTAAAAAACCATATCTGTTCGGCATTACAGTGCTAAACAAAGACTACCTGTTCGACATTATAGTGCTGAGTGAGTCATTTTGATTCGGTTTTACAGTGATGAATGAGGAGGATTTGTTTGGTTAGTCAGTGATGAACATAAAATTCATGTTTATTCAATAGTCCAGATTTGTTTATTCAGTGATGACCATAAAGCAATAAACAAACCAATATTTCAAACAAACAAACTATCAAACAAATTCAAACCATCATGGGCCTCTAATCTATCGAGGTCCTCTCGCAACCTTTGTAAAATAGACGTTGACGAACCAAATTGGGTACGAGAAATCCAACGAAAGACACGAGGCTGATCTTCTTTATAGTCCAAATTGGGGTGGGGTCTAGCACCAACAAAATGCTCGTAAATCCAAGCTTCTAGCAATGTCATGTATCCTGCCATCTGTTTCACGACATACCTTGTGGCAGTACCCAATTGCCAGTATAAAAAAGCCAATGTGGCTGCACCCCAAGCATAAGAAGCAACCGATCGCAAATCCATAAGAAAAGACAAATACACTACTGGAACACGTGTGCCAGTCTTGTTTGCAAATAAGGTACAGCCTAAAAAATATAACAAATATGCCCTAGCTGCACACTCAATGATATTATCATTGTCCGCATCAGACACTAACCCAAACCATTGTCTCAACCATTCTACCTTTTATAGACTGGCCCCATGCTACCTTCAATGCTAAATTTGCCTCATTTGTTGTTACTCCCAAAGCCTCGACTAGCAAATTTGCAACGTCAACATTTGATAACTTCTTGCAAGAGACTGATTTACCAATCACTGGAATCCCTAGAATTACACTAACATCATTTAAGGTTGGTGACATCTCACCAAATGGTAGATGAAACGTGTTTGTCTCTGGCTGCCATCTTTCCATAAAGGCTGAAATACAACTTTGTTTACAAATTTATATGAGCAACTGTAGCTCGACTTTTTCGTGCCCCCTTTCAGAAACTCGAAAATAGCCCTACAGTTCGGACTTCCGTGGTTCTGAATCTAATCTCACAAGTGCAATGTGAAACTGATAATCACCAAAGAGTCCAAATCCGACAAATCTTTTGGAAAATTGATTTTAAGATAAAAAAAAATGCCAAAAATGGACTGTTTTACTAGATACAGAGTCGTCACCTAAATATTTTATTTTGGAGAAATTTTGGAAACCCATGACTTGTGCCAATGGCCACGTGTCCGTCACCACCAAAGTTGCCTCGGCTCGTACGAGAGGGAAAGGTCATGAATTGAGCACCCCAGTTCGCCCGATCAAAGATCGGCCTCTACCAATCATGAAATGATTTTTATAAAAATTTATGTGCTCTTGTTCCGGTTGTTAAACTAGCGTTACTATGTGATGTGCACAAGCAATTATAGACTAGTTTGCTCAAGTTGGAACAATTCAAATTCATGTTTGTTTTGCGAAAGAAGGTTTGAATTTGCCACCTCAAGTGAGCTTAAAGTTTGCGAATTTGCCACCAAACAAGGTGGGCTTAAAACGTACATTTATTGAATCGTTCTATTTCAAGTAACAAGCCTTCATCCACAAGCATTCAAGCAGTTTATCAAGTAAGCATCTAGTCTCATGGTAAGCATGCTAGTTATGGAAATCACTCACACTCATGCAAGTATGCTAAAGCACTAAAAACTCACCTAGTACTTCAAGCTAAGACGATATAAGTTAGAAAAATATGCATTATCCCTAACTATACAAGATGTCTAATGCAACACATGCAATAATGCAATTACTAGACTTGGCTACTAATATGGCATATGAAGCAATTTAACATGCGGTTAAACACGTATTCAATGAAGTAATTGAAATAACAATGCAGTTTGAATAATGCGTTGAGCCTCGGTGTATGCAAGACAAGATGAATGGATGCAAGCATAAGGTATGCTAATTGAAACATGTCTCTAATCTAACCATAAAAAACGGGTAAATAAAAGGGAGAAAGACTTGGGATTGGAAGACATACACATTATTACATTACGCTCTCACGAAGGAGAGCTCGAATGAATACAGCTAAACTAACTAAGCTAAGCTAATTAGCAACTAATTAAACTGATTAAGCTAATTATTACAAACCAAAATGAAATAAATAGCTAAACTAATTAACTAATTATTATAACATTTTGAACTAATTAGCCAACGAACTAATTAGCTAACTAATTAATTAAATAATCACAAGACTTGCAACTAATAATTAAACTAAGTAACTAAACGAAGTTAATTAGCTGTTCTGCCTCAGGAAATGAAAGATGTGCATGCGCATTCTCTATTTCCACCCGAAAAGATCTCCACTTTGCTCTCGAAAGCCTCTATTTGCACAGTTGAACACTTCCAAAATCATTCTGCTCTCTCTTACCAATTCTCTACTGATATTTGCATCAGTGGCCAGCCGACCACTGGAAAAGACTGCCGGCCAGGTGGCGGCCATAGAAGTGGCCTACCGGCCATCTATGGTGCACTGCCGGCCTCCTGCCGGCCATGGATAGTGGCCTGCCAACCACTGATGCACTGGTTCAACTTGTTGCAATAGAGAACAAACAGAGCAAAAATAGGGTACTCCCATAGATTGTTTGCATAACTCACCCCTCATTTTCATGAACAAATCCAAGGAGTTGTGAACTCAAGCCACAAACTACCAACTCAAGCAATTTCATTGCATGATGGCTTGTGATTCAAGATGTGCAAGTTCAATAAATGCAAACTGAGACACAAACCTCCTCCCTTTCATGAAAGATCAAGGGAAGAAGTTGACCTTGGAGACTTGGATCATTTCATCACTATCAAGTATGAAATGGTCCAAGTTCCATGTGTTCAATTAACGTCCGATTGAACACATCAAAAACACAACCAAATTCTTATCTTGGCTCACTTTTAGTTCCGAGTTTTAATTACTCATTTTACTTTACCAACCATTCCTTAATCCAATTAAGTCCAAAAGGTGAGTTAAAGTTTGCTAAAGGGAAGGAAGCGTCAAACAAGGGGTAGTTTAAGGATAAATGCAAAATGAGACACAAACCTCCTCCCTTTCATGAAAGATCAAGGGAAGAAGTTGACATTGGAGACTTGGATCATTTCATCACTAACAAGTATGAAATTGTCTAAGTTCCATGTGTTCAATTAACGTCCGATTGAACACATCAAAAACACAACCAAATTCTTATCTTGGCTCACTTTTAGTTCCGAGTTTTAATTACTCATTTTACTTTACCAACCATTCCTTAATCCAATTAAGTCCAAAAGGTGAGTTAAAGTTTGCTAAAGGGAAGGAAGCGTCAAACAAGGGGTAGTTTAAGGCATGAAAGAAGTTTCATGCCGTTGGTAATGAACTCTCAAAAGAGGATTAAACCATTAAGCATGAACCTCAATCTCAAGCTTAAAGAATCCCAAGTTTGAAACAACCCTCAAAGCAAATTTAAAAGTTCAAGAAATGAGGGGGGTTGCAGAGCTTTAGGTGCTGAAATGAAGTGCAAAACAACACCAAAACATGCAATGAAGTGCAAAACAACACCAAAACATGCAATCAACTCAAACAAGGGGAGTCTAATGGCCTTAAACACCGAGCTTGTGAGGACATTTACACTATAACCATGCAAAACAAGACTTCACTGACCTAAACATCCCAAAATAGACCTAAAATAGTCTAAAACAAAGGCAAAAACATGTTGGAATATAGCTACAAAAAGCTAGAAAATCATGCTAACATATAGAATGAACTAGGCTAGCAAACAAGACACAAGGACGGGAGGCTAACCCCTCCAATTTTAGACTTCAAAACACGTTTTTTGCCACTGAAAATACTATGAAATTCAGTGGTTAAGAGCCCAAAAAAAGTTAGTTTGAAAGTGGAAAACAAAGGTGCAATAGCCTTTCAAATAAGAAAGAAAGAAGGGTGAAGCACATTCTAACTTAAAATGGTCTCAAACCATCACTTTTAGTCCACCAAAACAAGTTTTTTTTGTTATAGTTTTAAAGTAGCCCAAAAACAATGGGAAAAGAAAGCAAAATGAGTGTGCAAAACAAAGTGTACAAGACAAGTGCTATACCTCTTGAAGGTAAGAGTAATTCTAGGCAACAAACCAAGCCAAAATCCATTTAAGAAGCTCCAAGATAGCTTCAAGTAACCTCAGCTCCAAGACTAACCACTTTGGTTAAGGGTTGATATGCAAAATTACAGTGTATCTAAGCAACTAAGCAAAAAATTTCAAGAGAGAGGGAGAAATATAGAGAGAGAGGGGGTCTCTATATATAGAAAACATGAAATCTATACAAGGAGATCCAGCCCTCCATGTGTGGATAGATGCAAGCATCTGTGCAAACAGTTGGCACAGCTGGCATAAAATATCTACAGAAAACACTGGTGGCCGGCCGGCCATCAGTGATGGCCAGCATGGCACATTAATGGCCAGCAGACAAAAAGTGATGGCCGACAGCCTTCAGGGATGGCCGGTAGGCCACCAGAGATTGTAGAATAGAAAGACCAAGGCATGGTCCAAAAATGAGACAAAATGGATGCAGGGTTTGAAAGGCTCAAAGTTGGGGGGTGTTCCGCTGAGGACTTCGAGCACTCGACGAGCAAACAGACTCATCATCGGATGTACCTGCAATAACATCCAAGTCTTGAAAGACCGTAAAAAATGGGGTGTCTACAACAACTCAGTAAAGAAATCAACCCTGAATCCATAATTAAACCGTGAAATTTGGACTGTTTATTTTCTTCCAAGTTGAATGACCATTCACCAACTTTAAAACCATGATTTAAGCATTTAAGTATTTTGCGTTCCTGCAACATAGAGTAAAAAAAGAAAAGAAAAAGAAAAGAAAAAAAAGAATTAGTAAAGTTGAAACAAAATTTAAAATATTAAATTAATGTAAGATAATGACTTATATCATTATGCCAAATTTTTGCTGCTACGTGACAATGTCTAACATCATTATGCCAATCACGTGACAATGAAAAATCTTCAAAATTGAAGGATCATATGGCCCTCTAGGAAAAGGTCCAGTAAGATCTTCATTAACTTTTTTAGTTGTTTTTAGTGGTTGGGTCTTCATAGTCACCTATGTCTGTTGGTTCATCACCCGGATCATCACCCATGTCTGTTGGTTCGTCACCTATATCTATTGGTTCATCACCCAAATCATCACCCATGTCACTCACATTCAATTGATTCCCCCCATCGTTTTCAACCTCAACCGTTTTTGCTAAAGCAGCACCTATGTCATTCATGTCACTTTTTGAGAAAGTAACTTAATCCTTAGTCTTACGAGTGCGTCGAGGTCTCTTAGCCACTTTTTGAGAAAGTACAACATTACGTCTCCTAGACGATGTTGGTCGATCTCAAGCAGTTTCCACCATAGCTGTCCACCAAGTGCAATTAGATGTTAGCCAATGGTAATGTAAGCAAATATATCCAATGTCAATTACCCTTAATAATATAGTCAGTCCTTCTTATGTATCGAAAATCCATGTCATCTAGGACATTATATATATAACTTATAAGCTGTTGAAGCCTATCTTAAATAGGTGTGTCATGACCAATGAGGCAAAAAAACATGCATGGTCAGAAGTATATATACATGTATTTTTATGTATGTATATATCAATTAGAGACAACTTTAGAAAAGATACAAATTCAAATAGGAAACAACAAACTAAGATAGTTTCTTGCCAAATACAAAATGAAAAAACAATAAAAAGAAATTACTAAAAATAAGATATTTGAGTTGGAAAAAAATTTGAGAATTGTAATGCATTAGAAGCATGCCAAGAGCAAGGCCATTAAAAAGAAAAAATCCTAAAAAAAATTATAGACAAAAACAAAGCTTTCCAAAAAAAGTGCAAAAATTTGAGAGCCTAAACAATGGAATTTGGTATTAAAAACAAAAAAGGCTTAGTACACAGCAAAAGTTGTGTGTTTTGTTTCTTAGGACATTTCGGATTGATTATAAGTACTTAAACAAAATTCGACATTGACCCAAAACCTATAGTTGCAATATAATCACATGCATCTCCAAGTTGATATAATGTGCTAAAATTAGCACTGTTTTCAAACAACCCACCTACCTTTTGTTAGGTTTATGATGTGTATTGTGCTAATTAGAGTTAGTTTATATGGAAAACAGCTAGTACAAGTGTAGACACCCCATTTTTGACGGCTTTTACGACTTGGACATCCTTGCATGCACACCCGATGATGAGTCTGCTTGCTCGCCAAGTGCTCGAAGTCCTCAGCGGAACGCCACAACTTTGAGCCTTTCAAACCCTACATCATTTTTGTCTCATTTTTGGACCATGCCTTGGTCTGTCCAGCCTGCAACCTCTGGTGGCTTGCCGGCCATCTCTAGAGGCTGTCGGCCATCACTTTTGGGCTACCGACCACCAGCGATGGCCGCCCGGCCACTAGTGTATTTTGCAGATATTTTATGCCAGCTGTGCCAGTTGTTTGCACAGATACACCCATCTTCACTCACGTGTAGGGTTGGATCTCCTTGAGGGAATTTCATGTTTTTTATATATAGGGACCCCCTCTCTCTTGTAGCAAGGTTAGAAAATTTTGAACTCAAAAATTTTCCTCTCTCTCTACAATTCTATCTTTCTGTACAAATTCTCTACACTTTTGACTACAATTCCTTAACCTTTGCCTATACACCCTTAACCAAATCTCACCATCCTTGAGATGAGGAATTATTGAGCTTGGTTTGAGCTTTAGAGGGTGCTGTTTGCTTGGTTTTGTTGCTTGGAGTTGCTCTTCTCTTCAATGGTATAAGACTTTGCTTGTAACTTTGTTTTATTTGCTTCTATTCCTACTGTTTTTCCATTGTTTTGGGCTATCAAAACTTTGTATTTTTTGGGCTAAAGCTTGGGTTTAAGGCTAATAAAGGCTGAGGGGTTGATAGCCCTTCTCTATACCTTGTTTTGGAGGCCTTTGCCATTGTGTTTCCTACCTTTTTACTATCTTTTTCCAAGCTTTTAAACACTAAATTTCAGAGTATTTTTAGTTAGGAAAATCATGTTTTGAAGTCTAAATTTGGAGGGGTTAGCCTCCCCTCCCTGTGTCATGCTTACTAGCCTAGGTTTTGCCATGTTTTAGGATTTTAATCTAGCTTGTTTTAGCTTAATTCCATCATGTTTTAGCCTCTAATTTAGAATATTTTAACTCCGTTTGGGCTAATTGTTGCATTTGAGTTTTGTATTGCATGCTCGTAGTGTAAGTGTCCTCACAAGTTTGTTGTTTTAAGTTTTAGACACCACTTGTTTGAGTTAGTTGCATTGTTTTAGTGTTTTTCTCACTTAATTTCAGCAAGCATAATCTCTGCAATCTCCCTCATTTCTTCACTCTTTGTTCGCTTTGAGGGTTGTTTCAACCCTGGGATTGTTTAAGCTTGAGATGGAGGTCCATGCTTAATGGTTTAATCCTCTTTGGGGGTTCATTATCAACGGCATGACACCTCTCTCTTGCCTTAAACTACCCTTTGTTTGACACTTCCTTCTTTTTTAGAGGACTTAACTCACCATTGGACTTAATTGGATTAAAGGATGGTTGGTAAATTAAAACGAGTAACTTGGGACTAAAAGTGGGCAAGATAATAACTTGGTGTGTTTAATCGGACGTTAATTGAACACATGTAACTTGGACCATTTCATACTTGCTAGTAATAAAATGATCCAAGTCTCCAATCTCAACCACTTCCCTTGATCTTTCATGAAAGGGAGAAGGTTTGTGTCTTTTTCTTGCATTTTTTAAACTTGCACTCTTGGGTTCACAAGCCATCATGCAATGAAATTTCTTGAATTGGTGGTTTGTGGCTTAGGTTCACCACTCCTTTGATTTGCTCATGAAAAGGAGGGGTGAGTTATGTAGACAATCCTTGAAAACACTCAGTATATGCTCTGTTTATCCTCTGTTGCAGCAATATGAACTTGTGCACCAGTGGCCAGCAGGCCACTTTCTATGGTTGGCAGGTGGCTGCTGACCACCTTTGATGGCCAGCAGGCCACTTTCATGGCCAGGAACCTTCATCTTTGGCCAACTGGTCATTGATGCAAAATTCAACAGAGTTTTGGTAAGGTGGAGCAAAGTTGTTCTGGAAATGTTCAACTGTGCAAACAGAGTTATTTGGGAGCAAAACGATGGTCTTTTCGGGTAGAATCCGAGCATGTGCATGCACATCCCTTGTTTCCCGAGGCAGAGTAGTTAATTGTTTAGTTTAATTATTAATTGCACTTATGTTGTAATTATTCAATTAGTTAGTTAACTAGCTAGTTAATTCAAGTGTTGTAATAATTAGTTAAGTAGTTTAGATAGTTATTCATTTTGTTTTGTAATAGTTAGTTTAATTAGCTTTGCTTTAATTAGTTGCTAGTTAGCTTAGTTTATTTATTCGGATTCCCCTTCGTGAGAGCAAAATGATGTAATAATGTGTATGTCTTCTAACCCCACGTCTTTCTCCCTTTTATTTTCTAGCTTACGATGTTTAGATTAGGAGCATCACGTTTTGTTTAGCATACTTCATGTTTGCACTCATTTGTTTTGTATGCATCGAGGCTCGGTTCATCATTCTAACTGCAATGTCGTTCAATACTTCTTTGAATATGTGCTTAGACCGCATGCTATTTAAATTGCTTCATATGCCATATTAAGTACCCGAGCCTATTTTAGTTACATTATTGCATGCGTTGCATTAGCCATCTTGTATAGTTAGGAATCATGCATATTTTTCTAATTTCTTTGTTTTCTTTTAGCTTGAAGTACTATGTGAGTTTTTAGTGCTTTAGCATACTTGCATGAGTGTGAGTGATTTCCATGTTTAGCATGCTTTCCATGAGGCTAAGTGCTTAAATGTTGATTAGGAGCATCATATTTTGTTTAGCATACTTCATGTTTGCACTCATTCGTCTTGCATGCACTGAGGCTCGGTTCATCATTCTAATTGTACTGTCGTTCAATACTTCTTTGAATACGTGCTTAGACCACATGTTATTTGAATTACTTCATATGCCATATTAAGTACCCGAGCCTATTTTAGTTACATTATTGCATGCGTTGCATTAGCCATCTTGTATAGTTAGGAATCATGCATATTTTTCTAATTTCTTTGTTTTCTTTTAGCTTGAAGTACTATGTGAGTTTTTAGTGCTTTAGCATACTTGCATGAGTGTGAGTGATTTCCATGTTTAGCATGCTTTCCATGAGGCTAAGTGCTTAAATGTTAAACTGTTTGAGTGCCTATGGATGAAGGCTTGTTGCTTGAATTGGAACGATTCAATGAATGTACATTTAAAGCCCACTTTGTCAAGTGGCAAATTCGCAAACTTTAAAGCCCACTTTGTTGAGTGGAAAAATCAAACCCTTTTAGAAAAACAAACATGAAATTAAATTGTTCCAATTCAGGCAAACTAGTCTATACCATGTGTGTGTGCGCGTCACATAATAATGCTAGCCTAATAAACTGGAATAAGAGCATATAATGTTGATAAAAATCATATCATGATTAGCAAAGGCCGATCTTTGATCAAGCGAGCAAGGGTGCTCAAATGTATTCATGGCCTTCCCCCCTCGTACCTAAGTTCCCGACCCGAGACAATCTTGGTAATGACGGACACGTGGCCTTTGTCACGAGTCATGGGTTTCCTAAATTTCCCAAAAATAAAATATTTAGGTGGCGACTCTGTATCTGGCAAAGCAGTCCAATTTTGGCATTTTTAGATTCAAAATCAATTTTCTAAAAGTTTTGTCAGATTTGGACTATTTGGTGTTTATCAATTTCACATTGCATTTGTGAGATTAGATTCAAAACCGCAGGAGTTCGAACTGTAGGGCTTCTTTTGAGTTTCCCGAACGGAGCACGAAAAGTCGAGCTACATTTTCTAGCGACTCAGCTGGGGATTTAGAGAACTTGACTCGAACTCATGATATGAAATTTTATCTACACTTATATGTTTTTTTTCATTGCATTTGTATTGGTGCGCCTAAGTCACCGTGTTTGCCATATGCTATTCCTGGACGGTTTGACAGAGGCTTCCCTAAAAGCTTGCCAAAAGGCTGATCAGTCGCGGGCTCTGCCATGATGGGAACACAACCCTTGTATCTGTATTACCGCTGTACCGTTTGATCCTCCTTTCACTTCTCGGTGTTAGGTGTGAGAGGTATAATCGGTTGTCTTGCTGAGGTACATTTTTTGACCATTTGGCCTAGTTGCATATTGAAAGCTATAGGGACTGTTCCA